AAACTTGTTTGAGTCCATAAGAAGAGATTCATTCTTATATCTGGAGGAAGATATTTTTCAATAAATATTAATGTTAGCCCGCGACCTTGTTCTAGATTTGAATTTTGGCCCACTGTGTATTTGAGTTTGACACCCCTGCCATAGGACATGTCAAGAAAAATACATTCATTTAAAAAAAGAAAAAGAAAAAAAAAAAAAAAAAAAAAGTAAACAATCACATAAAGACATTAAACACCTGAACACAATGTTTTGACGGATCACAGAGATGGCATGTATTTAAAAAACTGTCCACACAAATGTTTTGCTCTACTTCAACAAGCACGCACATACATACATACGCGCGCACACACACACATGCATACATACATAAAAATGTTCTTGCAATCACGTCACACAGAATACCTCAAGGACACAAACCGCCTATCATCAACTAAATAGGTGTCTAGAGCTTGAAAGTCTAATTCATTTCCTGGATTGAACAGGATCCAGTCATTGTCAACTGCCACTTGGTAAGCATGGAAATGACATTCACAAGTGCAAGGAAGTAACAGTTTCCCACACAATACCCAACAAGTATCAACATTCAAAATATACTTGATTTTAAAGAATTGAGGTATGGCTTCAGTGTGTACATGGCCAACTACAAAAACATCCTCAAGTTCATATTTGACACTGCTGACAGATATAGCAGACACACGCTGAAGCACTTTATCCTGAAAATGCACATCTGTAAAACTTTTGTTCATTTCCAGAGCATTCTGTAAGTCACCTGGCAGAGATGAAAATGGCACACTGACACTTGTGCTGAGTGAATGTTCAAAGTCAACAAGCAACTTATCTGAAGAAAACTCCCAGCACTGTTTCATTTGATGACGATTGCTAAGAGTTGCAGTGATGTTTACAAAGTTTTTGCATTTACTCGCCATATTTTTGAAATATTGATGCTTGCTTTCATATCTCATACACCACAAAGGGCGAAGAGGACCATACATCAAAATCAGCATTGGGTAGTCAATAAGGTAGTGACACTTGGGTGGGGGCGTATTTAATAGAGTTGGTTAAGTACCCTGGCGACACTTACTGGCAGGGGTTTGTCTCCCTGGTCTCCTATGTTGACAATGCAGTTCTGAAGAAAGACAAGTGTTTTCTTGAAGTATGCAGGGTAGGTCATGTTGAACACGAAGAAGGTGGAGAATGCTGAGATGTAGGCCTCATCCAGCGAGCGGCACGAGCAAACATCCACTCCTTCAACTGTCACAACACGGCGACACTGTCTTAAGAGGGCAGTTGTCCAACTCTTATCCTTCATTCGAATGGTTGGGTATGGACTCATGGGAGTATTCTGCAGAAGAGGAAGAAAAACATTAGTATACAGTATGTTTAAGCAATATGTGCCAAGTGGATTTTCAACAGATTCCTCAAATTACCTTCTTTATTTGCTAGAAAACAAAACTGTCTATTCTGATAACCTGTAAACATGGCCCATACTCCAAACAAAAAGCTTCTTGACCAATGACTGTTGTGGTAGTGTTTGATAAGCTGCTAAAGTTTGACATAATATTCAAGGGCAAAAGCAATCACCCCTGACAGTGACAGTACCTGTGAAGAAGAATTTCCCTAAGGGGACAATAAAGGTCTATCTATCTATATAAACACCAGACAAAACCCAAGAGCACAGCAGCACTGTGGATTAACAGCAGTGTTTCCCCTACATTAGCTTAGCTGTGATGCTGAACCGCAGCTGAATTCAGCTCCATGCCAACAAAACACCAAGAATGAAACTTGTGGCCAAAGGCTATGCATTGCATCATGCATTTACCTCTCCAAGGATGATGAAATCTTCTATCTTCTCCTTGAAGATGGATGGCAAGAGAAGTGCCCCCTTGAAGTCAATTCCTAGGTCATACAGATGCAAATGCACTTCATTAGATTTTGATAGCATGCAAATTCCCATTAACATGCTCTTCACATGATACTATGGTACATCAATTATCTTTGGAAGAGAGAGCAAATGAATTGTCACAAAATTTACTATTTGTATGAGGTCAAATTAGCACCTGTAATGTCTTCAGCCAGTGCATTCTCTCTTGCCTCCATGTAGACCTTCTTCAGTGGCAAATCCTTGGTCATTTGAAGAACAGCAGTGAAGTTTTTGCTAAAGCGGCGACAGATGTTGTCTTGGCAGGGATGCATTAAATCAACCTCATCACACAACTGGAAATGAAAAGAGCAGAATAGACAAAAGCATGACATTTTACATTGAGGATTTAAACTTTTGACATGTTTAAAGACACAGACTGGCGATAAATGTAAAGTGCTTTAACCCTTGAACAAAAATTCTAAAGCTAATAAACAGATTGATTAATCAGTTAGTACAGAAAATAATAATAATCAGATTTAGAGACAAAAAAATCATTAGCTGTTTCCCCAATCATCTTAACAATTCTTGGGTTGCAGACAGTGTCCCTGCGCAGAGCTTACAGTTCTCATATTCGAAAATCCCAAATCCCACTAAGTAGGTGGAATGGTACAAATGTGTACCTTCCATTGTTTAAAATCCCTTTGAGCGGGAAACAAGTTAGATGCGATAAATTTTGCTTAGAGAACGATTTTGTTAATACCTATATTTACATACTAGCATGTTTTGAGAAATTATTGATTTTTTTACATTGTTGTACACGGTTAGTGACTATTTATTGATAAAACACTGGAATACGGCGGGCAGACAGACGTTGAACATTCCACCAACAGTCTAAATAGTCCACATTTGTACCTTTCTTTGTTTAAAACTTAGCTAACTGCTAGCATTCACCCATGTTAAAGCTAGCTCTTCGGACTTTTGCTAACTCTACTGTAAAATTACACGTTGTAATTTTTATAAAAACACAAAATCACACCCGACTTACCTCTAAACCTTTGCGCCTCGTCGTCTGACACATCAATGCCTTCTTCCATCAACTTTTTAAGGAGCTCCTCCGTGGATAACCCCCTGAGAGTCATTTTCTGCGTCAACGCTAGTCAGCGCGGAGGCGGAGCACTCATCGCTGCTGGCTTTTCAGCCTTTGGGATTAATGCGCGTTGCGAACTTGATACATGGACATTGTGGTATTAATGCGTTTGGAAACCGTTATGCTGTCTTGGCGAACTATATTTGTAACTTACAAAATGTAGTCACCGTAACATAAAAATCTGCTTGACATTTTAACTTCCAAAGAACCTCGGTTTAACTTGATGTTGCAAATTCCATAAAAACCTCCCAATTAATGAACAATTCTAGGATGTAGTAAAAGCGAAAAAGTAAATGGCCAAACATAACAGTAATATGATTTCACATTTTTGAAGGCTACAACCAAGATTTAAAACATTAAAAATTATAACTGAAACTTAATAAAATGGAAATGGACCAGTTTTTTTTAACATCATTTGGTTGTGCCTGCATGTCATTGTGTGTGTTTTTAAAATATAATTTAACATAACTTACACAAAGGTAGGTTACAGATATTCTTTGCATCATAGGATAATTTATGTACAGAGGAGAGGACCAACAGATTTGATTATAACATGTAGCTTTTATGAGCACACTCACATCTCATATGAATTTTACAATTAACCAGGCCCATCCAGATTTTCCCATGCTGACCCATTACCACATTCTGCCACTGTCACTGCAGTACAGGTCAAAATGGTACAGATTTGTACTTATTTCAAATTGTACCTTTAAAGGGGCATTTCTGGACTTTTAAAGACCAGTATTGTACTTTTAAGGGAACATTTTTAAAAAATGTACCTATAGGTACAAAAATGTTCTTCTCTCGTACCTCTATTTCTGAGAGTATACAATAAAAACAATTTTAAAAAGCTGCCATTTGGTCTCAGCTTTAATTGTTGTCAAGATAGTTTATTAAATCCAAGGCAGGGCATTAAGTTACACCTTGTTACACCTTGAATTATTGACATTACTGGCTGAAGGTCAGAAGGATGACGCTCCTACAATCTGTGTGTGTCCAGGAGGAACTGAATATACAGAGAGCTGCACAGCTGGTCTACCTGTGCCAATACTCCCTCCCTGTGGTTTAGTGAGTCATTACACTTCAACGCAGAGCAGTGAGTAAAATTAGGTTTATGCACAGAAGTGAGAGAAATGCTCAATTAAAAAAAAAGCACATGCCAGCATTTATGCATGTCTTCTATTTAAATCGACTATAGACAAAAATGAAATCTAGTGTCAGATTAAGCAGTAGAATAGAAACATCCTCAAACATGTTTTGGAGCACAAGAGGGACTTTAAAAAATAAGAAAATGAATAAAACAAAATCTGACATTGTCCCTTTTCTACTTTATTCTAAGACATTTGAACTAATGTTTGAGCAGCAAATGAAAAAAATAATTAATAAAATAAGTGTAACTTCTCTACTTTATCATTACACGCTAATAGCGCTGTATAAACAGCGGAAAAGGCCTCAAAGTATCTCTGCAGAAGAAGCCGATACCTTTTGTCTTTTCACTGCATGATGCCTACATTTCCCACGGTGCAACTTGACAAACAGATAATCAGGTGTCCTCATAGTATTTAATGTAAGCTTGAAATGCAAGCCCTTACCCTCAATAACAACGCCACAAGTGACAATTTAGCCAAAACGAAAAAAAAAGTTTGAAACGTTAAACTGAGGTTGTTTCCTCCTTTAAATGAAGTAAAATGTAGAAAGCAGCAACACCAGATCACAAACCCCGTTTTATGAGCTGTGCCGTAAACTTAGTTAAAGAGAAAAGTTGGACAACCTTGAAGCTCTATTCACTTTAATTACACTGCAAAAGCATTTTTGGTGCAACAAGCTTATAACTAAGCTTAACAAGTAAGTAAGTAAAACAGTGAGCTGAATTTATCATCACTTTCTGTTTTGCAGGTACCTGGTTTGAAGGTTTCTAGGTACCTGCTAGCTAAGAGGAAATACAGCAAATTAATAAAAACATGTCACAGAAAAGCAAAACAAACCAGAATCTGTAAGGCCCCACACTTTCCGTATGGCTCAAGTCTTTAATAGTAGGAGTAAAATGCAAAGAATATAAACACTGAACTATTCTGTAAGAAATGAGACTGTAGGCCTGCTTTCCACCATTCAAAGATTAAATGTAGATATCAGACCTAAGCCGGTCGCTGCATTATTGACGGTGAAGGGAACACATTCATTTCGCACAAGTCGGAGAAAAGAGTCAAAAAGCTCCAGAAAGATGATGGTAAAGTCCCTCATACAGCATTTAAAGCTGCAAGGTGAATACACTCAGATTACTTGTAACAACACTGACAGGATTAAAGTTAAAAAAAGATAATGTTATTTTCTATTTTGCTTCAACTGTCAACAAATCCCAAAAAACAACAACAACAACAGCTATAAATATAATTACAACTTCTCTGTCCTCTCTGCGACTGTATATCTTATAATTTCGGTGACACTGTAGGTGATTGTTTGCTGTGTCTCAGTGAGAAGAGAGTAAAATCCACCTTAAACAGGACACAGTCACTGGGTTACACTGCCTGACTTTGATGGTTGCAGTCCTGCCCCTCGTGTGTGGTGATGTAGGAGAGAAGGTCAATCGATGTCACGACGGCAAATAAAATCTCCCTCTGGAGGGCCGACCCATCGACCCCGTCTGCACAGAGACACAAAACTGCTGATGGACACAGATCTGCTAATCTCATAAACACGTATTTTATTTACAATATAGAAAATATATCAGATCTTTAAACTGAGACACACCGTTACAATAATAATACAATGTTTAAAGCGTTAAATGTTGACTTCAGAATTTGATGGCAGCATCACGAAGGAAAACAACAAAGGAAAGCCAGAACTGCAGTTAAAAGAAGAGGGGATGTTACACAGTGTCGAACACGGCCGTGTCCCAACTTCATTCAGACATCAAATTTAAAATCAGTTCTATTGTGAATAAAATATCAGCTTTTTTTAGGGGGGGGAGTAATAATTCACTCATTTAACAGTTGATTAATCCAGCCTCTGGGTCTCTTTTGTGTGACTGTAATTCAACATCTTGTTAGGATGCCTGGGTCGTCGACCCAGGGTTTTTGAGTTTATGTTATTATTTATAATTTCTAGTTTTTGGTTTCTTTGAGTTCCGTCTTATGGCTTATGTCTCTGTCGTCTTTAGTTGCTCTGTCTCCCCTATCACCTGCATCCCCTTGTCTAGTTCGCGTCTATGTGTATCTTAAGTTCCTATATCCCCGTGTTCAGTCAGTGTTTGTGTCTGCCCTGTTCCCACATCTGCCTGCATGTGAGTCTGTCTTTGTTCAGTCTGTGTTATGTGTTTCCTGTTTTACTTTGAAGGTCTCTGTCTTTTCTCAGTGTGTTCGGTCAGTTCTGATTTGCCCCAGCTGTGTTTCCCTCCTGTTACCCATTCCCTGATTGCTCCCTCTGTGTATTTAAGCCCTGTGTTTCTCTGTGTCCGTGTCGTGATCTACCGTTTACTTTGCTGTGTGTTTTGTCATTTTTCTAGTTTAAGTTTGTTTTGAGTTTTTTCAGTCATGTTATATTTTGAGTCTTAAATTAAAGCCTTTTTGAGTTCACGTCTGTCTCCAGAGTCTGCACCTTGGGTCCTATTCCTGCCTGCACACAGCCATACCTAACACATCTTTGGTTTTGGTCCATTAGTCAGTCAAAAAAGTGGAGCCCTCACAGCTTTGTGAATGACATTTATCAACCATGCAATAAACAGCTCATTATAAAAATGATCTGCACATAAATGTCCTGCATAAACACTATTTAGGAAATTAATTTTCTCACATTGCGTTTGATTGTGAACCACCAGGGCAAAGTTATCAGTTTTGAGGATATGGGAAAGCTTCCCCAGGTCGTCTGTCAGGTGCACCTGAAAGCACAAGTGGAGGAAGATTAAACAAGCGTGTAAAAATGTTCATTATGTCATCAAAGGTCGCCATGAAGAGCTCTGCATTCTCTGACTGACCTGTTTGAAGGCTTTGAGGAGCACCGCGCTGACAGCCGCTGAAAGTTCAACCTTCCCCGCCAACAGAGAGGACAGAATGGTTTCCAGAGTCACCATTCCCAGGATGGCCCTGTGGAAATACACAAAACCCACAAACTCCCATCAGACTCAGGTGACGAGAAGACTAACCCATCATGTCTCTGTCTGCTTATTTCAACCAAATGTCAAGATTAAAAAATGGGTAACCAAACTGGACGATTAATCAATATAGTTTTTAACTAGAGTTTATCTTGAGACGAGATCCAACTTATATGGTTACACACTCAAATAAGGATACCTCACATGGGGATTTACACTGGAGGGACAGGGTTGTAATGTATGTGTATATACCCATCAGACGTCCAACTGCCCACACACGTCTTTAAACTACAACACACATCTTAGCAAGCTGAATCAATTGACCAGAGGCAATGAGTAGTTAAGTCCACTAGAGGGCAGTCATCCTGGCACAAGTCAAGGACAGGACCCCAGGCAACCAAGAACTGCCAAGTACCAACATTCACAGGAAGGCAGGAACTTGTCCCATGTCCCACAGGGACCAAGGCTCAGGAAGCCTCAGGCCTGGCATTTATAATACTAACCTGATATTGAGAAGAAGAGACATACCCTGACTCAGTGACGACTGGTGCCTGATCCAGTGAGTTCTCCTTTAGGATCTCAATGGTTTTCTGGCAGGACACAGAATATGTGACAGTGAGGGGGGCAGACAGGTGTAGACTCTGAACAGTCCGGTTCCACCACCTGCAAGACGGAAAAACAGAGGTTTTAACACCAACCTGCCCCGTCATACCTCCTCTGAGGGGTATAAGCTATAGCTGATTCGGGGTGTTTTGTTATTATGGTGTTTTTTACCAGGGTTTTGGGTCCATTTGAGCGTCCAAGCAGAGGAAGCCTTTCTCACACATCCACTGATTCGTCAGGAACTTTGACCTGCAGGTAAAAATCGGTGAGTTTGAAGAAGTGTGCTGAGGTTTGGTCAGACTTCCACCTAAAACATGTCTGACTCTAGAAAATCTGTTTTGTAATGGTTGCAGCATTTCAGTTATGGACAGGAAAGACACGTGGCTGTAAAAAATAAAAATGAAAAAACATAACAGCTGAAAGCCATCTCTCATTTTCTCTCACCTTTGTCTTGTAGAAAAAAATCCACATAAAAAAGAAAGTGTGTTTGTGTACTGATGTCTAACTGCAGAGGTTACTGATTTTTCTTTAGCATGTTTAAAAGCAGTAACATCGGTTGAAATGTTTTATAAGTTAGCTTAACAATTATTGGCTCGTGTACTGTTAAATTTGGTGCACACATTCATGCCTTAGGCCCTTATTTTAAATCCAGCACCATGAGATTGAGGCCAAAGTTTTTTCAAAAACATTTTGTTAAATCCTCAAATACCATAAAAACAAATTGGCATTCCCATCAGCCTCTGCTGTATTTTGCTTTTTTCATTATGTCAGTCCTTAAAGCAAATAGAAAAACTGGAATTAAAGTCTTTGGACTTTGGAAACTTGAATATTTTATTGGCGCCGACTTTATAAAGACACATCGTGTAACATTTACAGTTACATGTGTCTCTTCCTCTCTCATTTCCTGTCACTGCTGTTCTGTCCTTAATAATGGGAAAAACATCCACACAAAGGGTTTCAAAAGAAAGTGCTTTTATGTTAAATTCTTGTCTAACTAATGGCTGGTGGGAGCCACATGATTACTGCTTTTAGCCAGACATAGCTCAGAGGAAGAGCTCTCTAAACTGTTCAATGGACTGTATCATTTCTACACACATTTACACATTTTTGAGGACAAAGCTAAAAACTATTGGATGGTCTGTGGTTAAATTTGGTACATATGTTCATTCACTGGCTTTTAAAGATTTCATTAAAATGTTCTTTTTAAATGGGGAAAGATTATAAAGCATACATCTTTAATCATCTAAAAAAAAAACAAGAATGGAAGCAGAAATTTTAATACATTTTCTCTCTAATCCACGCAGGATCAAAAGTATACGTACCAGCCCCTGGCCCAAAATCAGCAGCTTCAAGTTCAACTGAAAAGAGCAGCTGCCCCACATAGACAAGCCAAATGCCTTCTGAAGCAACGTTTTATGATCAGAAGGGACAAAAACTGAGCTATTCGGCCAGTAACAAGAGGTGTATTTGTAGGAATAAAGCGGAGGCTTTCACAACAAAGAAGATTATAGCATCTGTTCATGCTCAAGGGTGTTTTGCGCCCAGTAGTGTGTATGGATGCACAAATAATGAAGAAGGAAAACTACCTCTAAATTCTGAAACTTTACATCAAATTAACAGCTAGATAAACTTGACCTGATAAAACCTGGACACATTAAGGTGTTCCAGCAGGACACAAACACACATCCAAACTGGTTTTGGAATGGAAATAGCAAACTTGTGAAATGACCATTGAAAAGTCCTAACGTCACCCCTATTTAAAAAGTATTGATGTTCATGGGCATGATGAGTGCATGTAAACGTCTGCCCACAACTGTATTTTTGAAGGCATGAAGGCCTGTGAGCACTCCAGACTCTCACTGGATTCAAAGTGTATCTGCCATTGTGTCTCGTACATGTAGTTGCGGACAGAGTCAGGCAGGATGACCACGCAGCGCTGCCCCTCCTCCAGCTGCTGAGCCATCTTCACAGCTGCTGCCATCGCTGAGCCAGAGCTGCCACCTTCAGCAAAACAGGCAAATCGATCATTTAGAGCAAACTGAGGTTGCTCATAACATACCACAACTCACTGATATGAACTTACCGCACAAAAGACCCTCCTCTCTGATCAGTTTGCGGGACATAAGGAACGTTTCTGTGTCGGTTGATTTGTACCAGACATCCACAATCTGTGCAGATTCAACAGAGACGGGCGTTTAGCAAAAATACTCACTTTACAAATGTGCACGTTAACAAAAATACTCACAGATCTGTCCAGTACTGTGGGGATGAAGTCAAGGCCGATTCCCTCCACTTCAAATGGAAACTTTTTATTCTTCCCTTCTGAGCCTTCCAGAACAGAGCCTTCAGGATCCACACCGACTACCTAAAAACAGACATGAGGAATTGGGTAAGAGGCTGCAAACACTGCAGGGTTAAACAGTTATCAAGTAATGTTTGATGGAGCTGCCAATACATGCATTGCTTCACTGATGGATATGCATCAGTGTGAGTCAGAAATAAGAAGAAGAAGAATACAGTAAATAAAAACCATTCATTAAAGACTGTGGACTGATAGGTTGTGTGGTGCTCACTTTGACATTTGGACATCTTTCCTTTAACTTTCGAGCAACACCAGTGAGCGTGCCGCCTGTGCTGACTCCAGCCACCAACATGTCCAACTGACCTAAAACAAAAACACATTTTCTTTTTCAAGCTGTAAAAAAGTTTTTTTTTAATAATAATATAATTTCACATTCATGCCTGATAAGCTAATATGAACGATTAGAGGAATTTTCAAGGTTTAACAAAGAGGACAAGCTATATGCCTTCATATATTCGTGCAGTTTGATATACAGCTCAGTGTTTCAGGCATGTTTCTTGTATGATTAAAAGTAATTTAATACATTTGTGCAAATAATGTGGAATCTGTCCATAGGTTTACTGTTCGTCTCCTCCCAACCGTCGACATTTTGTCATGTTTTCATGAGAAACAGTGGGAACGGGAGTTAAATGTGCTGTTTCACACGCCTCCATGGGCAGATCAAATGTGCAAGTCTAACCTCAGTGCACAAAAAGATTACTTCTGATTGGATCACTTCCAAACTCGTCCCACCTCATGTCTCCAGAAATTCTCATTATACTTTGTTTTTTGTTGATGAAAGTGTCAAAACATAATTTTGACACTTTTTTTTGTGCGTTCGTTTTTATTTGGTTATTGTCTTTTCTCGTTCTTGTTTTCATCAGGAAAAAAAATATGGTTGTTGAGAACAAAATTAACGCTGCTCCTCAGAGCCAGGCTCAGACTTTCTACTTCAATGAGTGAAGGGAGAGAAAGAAAAGACTTAGTGGCAGAGCCATGTGTTTCTTTTCATTACCCTCAAAATCAGTTGTTGAATTAAACATGTACAGCAAAAATTAGACTCAAGCTAGAAGATGCATCAAAAATCAGAGTTTCTATCAGCTCGAACCATCACACTGCTCCAGTATCTCCTCAGCCGTGGTGTCGTAGTGAGCCAGGGGGTTGCTTGAATTGCCATACTGGTTGAGGATGTGCGAGTTGGGGATCTCGTTCTTCAGACGCCAGGCCGTACGTATATGAGACTCTGGTGAATCAAAAGCTGCAGCTGTGGGTGTGCGGACAATTTCTGCCCCGAGAGCTCTCAGGACATGCACCTAGGACACAGGAGAGGATGAAACTTCAATGCATTCCTCCCACTGAAAAGAAGAAGAAGAAGAAACAGGGCTACTTACCTTCTCCATGCTCATCTTCTCAGGCATCACAATGATGCAATGGTAGCCTTTTACTGCAGCTATGAGGGCGAGGCCAATACCTGCACAAAGAGCAAGATTTATTTAAATGACCTTTTTCCTTCATCATGGAGCTACAATACTGCACTTCAGTTTGGTTTATGTTAAACCGTATCAAACACTGAGCCTTCAACCCATTTGTTCATTCACACTCATGTACCCGTGTTTCCAGAGGTGGGCTCGATGATGGTGTCTCCTGGTTTAAGGACCCCGGCTCTCTCGGCGTCCTCCACCATGCACAGGGCGATCCTGTCTTTCCCACTGCCTCCTGGATTGAAGAACTCACACTTGGCCACTAAACACAGTCACCCGTTAAAAAGAATACTGTCATACTACACAGATAATGTGTAAAAACTGAAATTAAACTAACAGAAATGAATAAATAAACAGATAAAAGAAACGCATGAACAAGAGGAGCCTATAGAGAATTTATACTCTCATCTTGGAAAAGCTAAATGTGTTTGGCACATTGCGTTCGGATCATCAACGTAGGTTTGAAAAGATCAAAGAACCTGGATTTTGAGATGGGCCGCCAGTGTGAAACACAGGTGGCGCAAACAGTTTTCAGCTTTCCAGCTCAATTTAATTTACAGGTGTTTTTGTTCTTTCATCCAACAGAGAAAGAAAGTCTTTCAGTCTCACCTCTCCATCCAGGGAACGAGCTGCCTCCTCATACAAAACAACAACAGTCTCACAGTAGGAAACATGATACTTCAACGCTCCCTTCTCAGCTATTTTGCTTGTTCTACGGCTGTGCCACAGTCATTCAAGGCCCTGCTGTTTACTTCTCCCATTTAAACAAGCGAAGTTTCGTGCAGATTCATTCACATAATGAATCTGCACGAAATGCATAATAATCATTCTAATGTTTATTTGGAAGATTTTGCAGAAACTGAAAGTAAAAATAGTCAAAGTGATTGTGTGCAGAGAAGCTTATGGATTCTGCTTGTACTGATATCCAGGCATGTGTGGGTGTGTCACATTTTACATTCATACTCACAGATATCACACTTGAGCCCAAACTCTTTTGGGATGTTGTTCAAGCGAACCAGAGGTGTGTGTCCAATTTTCTCAAGGATGCTGGAGAGGATGCCAGAGGGCTTGGTGCTGTAATGTACGAGATAACACACAATTAACAGTCATTACTGTCATGATACGTTGTGTGGCAGGCAGGAGAAGGACCCAATAGCAAAACTCACAGACACGGGGATGAACTCAAAATCACAGCTTTAATGCTGGAATGGCAGAACATAGGAAATACAAAACTAAACTGGGAAAAGTAAACTAACATACGCGGAGAGACACAGGGAGATCCACACAACATGAGGGAGAACGCGACGCCGAACAGAGGAAGACGCAGACAGAAATACACAGAGGGTTAACGAGGAAAGTGGGAACACACGGGGAACACAGGTGACACAGATAACCATAACGAGACAGGGCGGGGTGAACTGAACATGACATGTAGAGGCAGAGGTTCCGACAGGAGGAGAGAGAGCACGGGGAAAACACCGACATAACGGGCTGGGGAAACATGAAACAACCACAAGGGGAGACGAGGGCTCATCAATACATAGAGGGCACACAGGGGGGAAGAGCCATGAAGGGAAAACACTTAGGGAACAACACAACAGGGCAACTCAGAAAACATGGCCTAAATAAGGAACAAAATACAAAAATGCATGAAAACTAAGAATACTGGGCCCACATGGCCCAGGACCATGACACATTACCATCTTGGAGATACCATACAGCATGTCATGTTCATTACATCTCGTGAGAATTTAATTTCAAAATACCAGAAATACCGTATCAGAAGTATCACTACAACATGCTCTAACTGGCCAATTTGTTAGGTACACGTTTTTATCATTGGGTTTAACGCCCTTTTTTCTTTCAGAAATGCCTTAATTCTTTATGGCATCAAATGGGTGACATGACCCATTTGGTGCTGCAGACCAGGTGCCTGACGTTCCACCAAATCCCAAAGATGCTCTACTGGATTGAGATCTGGTGACTGGAGGCCATTTGAGTGGAGTGGACTCATCATCATGTTCAAGAAACCAGTTTGAGTTGATTTGCGCGTTGCAGCACGGTGTCCTATCCTGCTAGAAGCAGGCATCAGAAGATGGGTACACTGTGGTCATAAAGTGATGGACATGGTCAGTAACAGTACTCAGGGAGGCTGTGGGGTTTAAATGATGCTCAGTTTATACTAAGGAACCCAAAGTGAGCCAAGAAGATACCCCCCAAATTATTATACCACCAGCAGTCTGAACCACTGACACAAGGCAGGATGGATCCATGCTTTTATGTTGATTATGCCAAATTCAGATCAGGTGAAGTTTTTCCAACCTTCTATTGTCCAGTTGTCCCTGTGAACTGTAGCCTCAGTTTCTGGTTTTTAGCTGTCAGGAGAGGCATCCAGTGTGGCCTGCTGCTGTAGCCCATCTGTTTTAGGTTTGATATGTTGATAACTTAGTTGTAACAAGTCTTTTCCCTCTAACTTCTGTCATCAACAAGGCATTTCCCCCCCAGAGAACTGGATATTATTGTCTTTGTTTGACCGTTTTCAGTAAAGCACAGAGATGATTGTGTGAGAAAATCTGAGTAGATCAGCAGTTTCTGATAGTTCTGAGTCAATTAAGTCACCGTTCTTCATTCTGGTGCTCAGTTTGAACTTCAGCAGGTCATCTTGATCATCTTGATCATCTTGATCATCTCTACATGCATTGAGTTGTTGCTGTCTGGTTGACTATTTATATGTTTGCCCATGAGTGTATGTGTGACATCTGTTTGTGAATCAACATTCTTTTACAGCTGTAATAGAGTTTCATTATTTAAAGACTGAGCTTAAGCTCAGAGCATTCTCTCCTCTACACAGCAACCTCTTTATTTTTTCCAGACTCTTACCGTGCTGAGTGGCTATGAGGCGACTCTGACATGGGCGCGCCCAGCTTCCAAGTACATCTGCTGGGCAAATCAGGACTGATCCACTTCGTCTCATCAGGAGTCTCGTCTGTGTTCTCCAGCTGAGTCTCAGTGAATGATTCATCCTTATCTTCATCATCAGCAGGTAACCTGTCACCACTGTTCACAGCTGCTGTAGCCTGACACACACTTGAAGATGCTTTAGCACAAGTGACTTCTGCATTTGTTGGGTTAGCTGCAAATGTGCAAGGAGAAGGAACTTCTTCCAAGGACTTTGTACCAAAATCAGTGGGCATGGTTCATCTGCAGCAAGATGGGACACATATTACACCACATTTACATCAAGCTTTCAAAAGTTACTGACAAGTTGGCAAGACCTTTTGTTTTAGTGGCCACTTAATTTGACTCATTCATCAATGACTTGTATCAGAAAAAGCTGCACTTTAACCTATCCCAGCTGTCTTAGGGGAGAGGCAGGGTACACGCACAGGTCGCCAGCCTGTCGCAGGGCTAAGACATAGACACAGACAAGTATTCACACTCACATTCACATATGCAGGCAACTTAGAGTTTCCAGTTAATCCCTACTAATTGCATGTCTCTGGAATTTGGGAGGAAGCTGGCGTACCCGGAGAGAACCCACACAAACACAGTGAGAACATGCAAACTCCACACAGAAAGACCCAGGCCTGATGGTGGAATTGAACTCAATAAATAAGCTACACATTATTTTATCTAACCTTAAATTAATTTAAAGCCAATTTGCATGACACAGTTTGATTGATGTCCTCCAGACATAATTTTAAGAATATGTTGCTCCTTCTGTGTCCACCCACACATTGTTTTGGCTGCCACTGGCCGACACAGGTCGCTGGTCCATTACGTGGCCAACACAGAGAAAAAGACAACCGCACACTATAACACCCCCACCTACAATTTAGAAGCATCAATTATCCTAGCAAGCACGTCTAATCAGTGGAAGGAAACCCACACAGACACAGTCTGGCCTCACAAACTTCACACAGACAGGCCCCGGCCAGACCGCAGTAGTAGTATGATCCTTTATTCTGTGCTGTTTTTCAGCTTTCTGGTTGTGGGGTTACGCTTACTTTCCTTGTGCTTGATATGATCCTGTGTTCTGTGCCTTTTGTCTCCTACTTGCCTGAGTTGCTAGGTTTGTTTATTTCATTTTTCCTCTGTTCCTTCTCTCTTTGTGTGTCTGTTCCCTCATTACCCTCTGTGTGTATATATATATTATCCCTGCCCTTTGTCTCTCTTGCATCGTAGCCTTGTTCCTGAGTCCTACGTTTAGGACCTTAGTCCTGCCTGACACACAGCCTAAAGAAGAAATACATATTCCGACTCCAGTTTCAAAAGACTTCCAAGAACGCCCAGCCCGCATAATAATAAAACCATTAATATATACAGTCACAATGTTACAGTCATCTGTGGCTATAGGGACCCAACATTTCTGCTTAATCTTCAGAATAAATATAATGACAATTTCATTCACTTTGTAAACCATGGAATATGATTACATACTTTATTTTGTGAATTAAATCATATACTGCACTACTGAAAACACTGAACACTTAAAAAAACAACAACATAAAAGTACTAAAAGTACACAGCACAGATGTACTTCTGCATTTTAAGGATGACCCAGGTGAGGAAACCACACCCAACTCTCGCTGGCTGATACAGTTAGCTAAATCAGCTTAGCTAAAAACTTACTAAAACATTTACTCACCAAGACCATGAGAAAGTAGTTGGACATTATCAAGCTGGTACCACAATCACTTTTACTTTCATTCCTAAACAACAAGAAGAAGAAACAACAGGCTTTTTTTCCCACTCCTGTGTTGTTGCATTCAGGTTCAACCGGAGTGGGCGGGACTTGTTTCCTCCCTCCAATAGAATTTCAGTATATGCCCTAGGGGAATCCAAACTTTAGTAATACACAAATTAACCTAAGAGCTGGAGTTCTAAATCAGAATGTAAAATAAGACACACAGAGAGTTGCTGCTAGTGGGCTACATTGTAATAACATTGTAACAAGTGAACTCTGCTTTCTGCTGATAGCACACAGGTGAGTCCTAGTTTCAGCATAACCGCAGCCTGGAGATAAAAACAGGAATCAACATGTTTCTCTAACTGTGTACTGAAATGCTGAATTCCTACTAACTGCAGTTAAAGGAGTGGTGTGCAATAACATTCACAGAAAGGCATGGAGTGACGCCCACCTCCATACACATGAACGAATATATCTTCCTCCGCTGTTTAGAAATTCAAGATAAATTGAATCAGATTAAAACATACCATTTGCACTCCCTGTCTGCAGAAAGACACAAACCTGTGTGCTGGTAGTGTGTCAAAAACTGATTTCCAATATTTGCCATAAAGATGATTGTTGGAATTTAAACAGTTATAAATGATTGCTGGCATCTAAGATATGCCAAACATATAATATCAAGTCATTTTGACTCAGCGATAACAATTTTTTGTGTATTCACTGTTATATTTCCTTTTAATTTCAATGTCTCACCAACATTAAAAATGTTTTTATTCAAGAGTGATCCGGCCATGAGGGCAGCTGAAATAAAATAAAAAAATCCAATTTCTGTGAACACGCTGAGAGACCAAAAAGAACTAGATTGATTATACTGCAGTTGCAAGAAGGCAGAGTCATAAAATGTTTGCAAAACAGGTTATTTCTTTATTTTCTATATAACCACATAATAAACCCCGTTCACTACAGTCTAATTACAACGTAAGTAAATATTAGACATAAAAGCACACGAGAACAGCAGAAATCATTGTTTGGCTTTTTTGGCACAACACCAACAACATCTGATATCTCCTATTGGTGCCGTTTCTGCATCATCATCATAATATTGGTCCATGATCAACATTGCAACTGACCAATAACATTGTCATGATGTTATATGCTTTGCATTGTGAGGTACACAGAAGAAACAAAATATGCCTCTGTTTATATCATACTTCTGGACATAATTGTATCTATATTCATTTATACAACATAATAAACTATTTTATCAACGTAGGCTTCTCTTAGTCAAATTTAGGTTATGTTGGTTTGCTAGTTTTTAAATGTATAAACTAACTTCTTGGCTAATGCTAAGTGACTTACACGGAGCAAATAAAGCAAATTGATAAAAATGTCATGGTCCTGGGTCGTTGACCCAGCGTTTTGTGTTTATTCTGATTTGTATTAGTTTAGGGTTGAACCTGAAGTTGATGTATATTCAGCCCTACCTGTGTCTGTCCTTGGTGCTCTGTTCATGTCCCCGTGTTGTGTTGCAAATCAGTCTGTTTCCTGCTTTACTTTGAAGGCTCGTGTTCTAGATTTCCTGTTTTGTTCTGAAAGTCTGTTTCTGTTGTCATTGTGTTCAGCTTGTCTCCTCCGGTCATCATGTGTATTCAGATCAGCTGTTCTTCCCTCCTGTGTGCGATTACCCGATTACCTTGTGTGTGTATATTTAGTGGGTGTCGGTCTGTGTTCGTTGTCGGCTCGTCTGCATTCTTCCGTGTGTCTCTGCGGCTCTCTGCCCCGTACCCTTTTTGTAGATTTCAGGTTTGCTCTTTAGTTTCTCCCAGTTTAGATTTGTCATTACTCATTTCCTGTTTTTGCCACTGCCACCGTGTAAATAAACTTCACTCGCATCATCAGTTTGCTGCATTTTGGGTCCTCCTTTTCCTCCACTCCACACGGCTCACTCCGCCAGCCGTGACAAAAAACATGTACAAAAAAAGAAAAAACACTAAACACAAAGGCACCACACTTAAAAAAGACATTATGTGTGGCAGGAAAAAAAGAAAGAATAGAAATATTTTTACTGTATTGTAAGAGAAAAGAGTCAGTTCCAGAAAGATGATGGTAACGTCCCTCCAAAAAAAAACTAAGCTGCCCTTTAACTGGAGATTTTTCACTCATTACAAGATGCACAGTGTTTAAAAAAAGAACAAAGATAGCTCTGAATAGTGCTTTACAACTTCTCTGTCCTCTCTGGAGCTCTATTATTATTATCATCATCATTATTATTATGATTATTTCAGTGACACTACAGGTGATCGTTTGCTGTCCCTCAATGAACAGGAAGTAAAATCCACGTTAAACAGGACACAGTCACTGGGTTACACTGCCTGACTTTGATGGTTGCAGTCCTGCCCCTCGTGTCTGGTGATGTAGGAGAGAAGGTCAATCGCTGTCACGACAGCAAATAAAATCTCCCTCTGGAGGGCCGACCCATCGACCCCGTCTGCACAGAGACACAAAACTCCTGTTAAACACAGAAGACTGTTGTGGTTTGTTTACTGCACAGGCTCATGAACAAAGTTTCCCATGTCGTCCACAAATACAGGTTTTAGCTCAATGATGGAAAGAAAGAGCCATATGTGAACATGATCCAGGAGAATGCAAATGTGTGATTGTAAATCAGTGTCTTTGGGTGTCACAACCAAAATGAAGCTTTGTGAATGACATTTATCAACCATGCAATAAACAGCTCATTATAATAATGATCTGCACATAAATGTCCTGCATAAACACTATTTAGGAAATGGATTTTCTCACATTGCGTTTGATTGTGAACCACCAGGGCAAAGTTATCAGTTTTGAGGATATGGGAAAGCTTCCCCAGGTCGTCTGTCAGGTGCACCTGAAAGCACAAGTGGAGGAAGATTAAACAAGCGTGTAAAAACGTTCATTATGTCATCAAAGGTCGCCATGAAGAGCTCTGCATTCTCTGACTGACCTGTTTGAAGGCTTTGAGGAGCACCGCGCTGACAGCCGCTGAAAGTTCAACCTTCCCCGCCAACAGAGAGGACAGAATGGTTTCCAGAGTCACCATTCCCAGGATGGCCCTGTGGAAATACACAAAACCCACAAACTCCCATCAGACTCAGGTGACGAGAAGACTAACCCTGTTGTGGCCATTTTTGTTGAATGTTTATAAAATGCAAAATGCAATTTGTATTCATTTTTGTTTTTTCTTTAAAGGTGTAAGAATATTCTGACCTGGTTTTGTTATGTAAATTTGTAATTAATTTTATTGAGAAGCTTTGGAAAGTGATTGGTTTATTAGCTTATGACCCTCCATTAATCAAGAGATTAAGAGCACCCTGGATGGGTGTGGTAAAGAGGTTTTTCGTTTTTGTTTGCCAAATGTCAGATGGAAGACGGAGGGTTAGAAAATGATTTTTTTGACCACTTTTGAAGTTGTTAAAGCAAATTAAATTAGCTTTCGTTTAATTTTAAGTTTTAAGAAGTTATTTGGTTGATTATTGTTTATAATTTTGCACGAAATAAACCACATATGATTTTTAAACAATGGAGTCAGAAGTGCGTTCTAAAACAAACCTCCCGTTGCCACCCACGGCCTTTTCTTGGACTTTTTTGGTGTTTGGAACGTAAAAGGCCGCGACAAACCCATTGTGTCTCTGCCTGCTTATGTCCACCAAATGTCAAGATTAAAAAATGGGTAACCAAACTGGATGATTAATCAATGTAGTTTTTAACTAGAGTTTATCTTGAGACGAGATCCAACTTATATGGTTACACACTCAAATAAAGCTACCTCACATGGGGATTTACACTGGAGGGACAGGGTTGTAATGTATGTGTATATACCCATCAGACGTCCAGCTGCCCACACACATCTTTAAACTACATCCCTGCAAAGTTTAACATCTCTGACTACAAGTGAGCAACACTGCTGGAAGTGTTAATAAAAACATAAATAATCACTGAGGTTTTAAAAGCTGTGGGAAATACAAGCTTCACATGTTCATATTATTTATGTTTAAAAATATTTCAGTTGGGTAGTTATATAAAGATGAAAATAAGACAAAAAGATCAGACAAGACAAAGGTCACAAAGTGTTAGAATCTCTTCCTGACACTGTGATGTCATCCCGAAATTCAATTTCCACCATCAACTCGAGAACAGAGCCACGTTTCATTGTGAAATCCTGAGATCAAACTACGACCTGTGGAACATCTGCCGAGCATTTAGCTGCTCTGCACGAGCGAAGATGACGATACAGAGGATGAGATCTGTTTCCCTGAAATCTCCATGGAGACCACTGTTTGTGTTTATGCTGGAAGTTCCTGTCCTCTTCCTGTTTATACAAGGTCATATCCAAACAGAGCATTTATAATACTAACCTGATATTGAGAAGAAGAGACATACCCTGACTCAGTGACGACTGGTGCCTGACCCAGTGAGTTCTCCTTTAGGATCTCAATGGTTTTCTGGCAGGACACAGAATGTGTGATGGTGAGGGGGGCAGACAGGTGTAGACTCTGAACAGTCCGGTTCCACCACCTGCAAGACGGAAAAACAGAGGTTTTAACACCAACCTGCCCCGTCATACCTCCTCTGAGGGGTATAAGCTATAGCTGATTTGCGGATTTTTGTTGTTTTTTACCAGGGTTTTGGGTCCATTTGAGCGTCCAAGCAGAGGAAGCCTTTCTCACACATCCACTGATCCCTCAGGAACTTTGACCTGCGGGAAGATACGGGTGAGTTTGAAGAAGTGTGCTAAAGTTCAGCCAGGGTTCCACCTAAAACACATCTGACTCTAGACAATCTGTTATTTATCAGCTGCATCACTGCTTTACGTCAGTTTTTCTTTTTTTAATGCTGACAGCTTTATTGTGGGATTTATTGGTTATTTTAGGGATAGGAAATGGCTGTAAAAATAAAAGAAAGAAAGAAAGCATCCTAGTTGAAACACATGTGTCTCTTTCTCTCTCATTTCCTGTCACTGCTGTTCTGTCCTTAATAATGGGAAAAACATCCACACAAAGGGTTTCAAAAGAAAGTGCTTTTATGTTAAATTCTTGTCT